TCGGGATATTCAGCTTCACAAAGACAGGGCCAGACTGCAATACCATGTTAGCAAAACCTGACTATGTAAAACAGGACTATAGTTGCATAACAAAAACTACTTGATGCAAAACAAATATACAAATCGTTAAGTTATTTTGCCTAACATTCAACAGTTTGTCACACAACTGTCCTTAGTTCTGCTATCTCGGATACAGGTGTAAATTGGAAGGGCTGGGCAAAACTGTTGATCCAAGGAAGTTTTGTATATAAAAGTTACCTTTATTCATTGTAGTTTTTCTATTGCCAAGAAAGTATTCAAATTATCATTTGAGAAATACTTGTTGCAATTTTCATATATACATTTACCTATTAAATCTGAAACAAAATAAGTCCTTGTTCTATTACATGCAGACAATGCTTAAAGTAAATTGAAAGAAGAGGGAGCCATCACTGTCTACCTAACTTTTTGGGGCAGGGAATTTAAGCCATGTGTTGGTTACTGGCAGTTAACACTGATTAACTCTTAGACAAGACAGTTTGTAGTTTTCATGTGTTAGCAGGTTGAAGCACACACTGGGGGCAAGCCTAGGATTTACTTTGGCCTGTGTGAAAACTGCAACTGCCTTGTCCGCACTAGGATTTTACCATATGTTAGCTAACACTAATTTTTTTAAAATAAAAAAATAAAGCTGCGCATTTTGGCCTTGGAGTAATCCAGGACTTTATCTGGATAACATGTGAGTACCCTTACCTACACTGATAGTCTCACTAAGGTAAACCTTTGTGTTTGAAGGATCCTAGTAATTAGTAGCTCATTAAGTAGATAGGGTGCAAATGTGGAGGCCAAAATCTGCATTGCAAAAAGTGTTAGAGTCCTTAGTTTCACTTCTCACCCCCTAACATCACCTATTGTCTAGGTTAAAACTGGTGACAGCTTGGGGAAATGGCTCACCAAAAAAAAACAGAAAAGAAAAAAAAACACCCAATAAAAACAAGAATTCAGGGTTTCTCAGTTGCTTTTACCATATTCTTCAGAGTAATCACCTTCATGAAATATCAAAGCCCTTATGGTTGTGAAATTAGCTTTCACAGTGTGAATTAATGTAATGTTGTTCAAGTCTGAAGCCAGTCAGTCAAAAACAAACAATAGCACCAAAAAGTGTCAGATTTCCCCCCCACCACCACCACCATTTATCCAAGGGAGGTGATACTGTGAAGGCTAATTAAGGCCATTTAAATCCTAACTATTAACCTTTTCCTTACTGTATGCTCTGTTTAGCTCAAAAATTTGTCTCACGCCAACAGACATAGGTCCAATAAAAGATATTACCCCAACCTCACCACCTTGTCTGTCTATCTTTCCTTACTGTCATACTAGAAACATCCAACTAATAATCATGGGGGGAGGTCTGGAAGGGGAAGATACTTAGTACACATTCTGCGACTCCCTCCATTAACTGGAAGCAATTCCAATAAGATTGCAGATTTTGAACAGGTTAAGTACTGTAGTGAAATATTCTGAACAAATGAGATGTTCGCTACTACCCTAAAAATTATAAATGGCATCTACAGTGTCACAAAAACATGCTGGACTCCTGCAGTGCAATGAGAGATTGTCTGGAATATCTCTAAAATGTGATCCTCGAGCAGCTATGGCATCTCATCTTAAAAAACCTAGTATTTCAGAATGGCCCCACATTGTTCAAATAGGATACACCAATTAGAAAAATAAAAAATCCCTGCAGAAATTAAACAGATTTTGCTAAAAGTCTCCACAGATTTGTACTGTCCTTCCTGCAATGCTTAAATGAATTACTACTGAGAAACCTGGCAAGCCTCCCCAACTTGGAAGACATTGGTTCACATGATCAGAACTTGCCCTGTATTTTAATTTAGATTCTTCAGCGTGTGTTTTATTTAGATTCTTCAACACAATTTCCAGTGCAAATACAGCCAAAGTACTTTACTTTTTCTTTATGACACTGGCTTATGTTAGTATTCTTTCAACACATGTTCAAATATAATAACTGATGTTTATAGTTTTATTTAAAACCTGAAATTAAGTCCTCATTTGAAATATCGATTCACTTTTAAGCAGTAGAGTTTAGAGAGGGTGAAAAATTTAAGAATTAGTAGGATTATAAGTTCTCTACATGAGTTCACAAAGACCTCATCCGCAGGGATACCAAGCCTCAACATTCGTAGAATAAACAAAACTAGGGTCTGTGCGGATTTTGCTGTATACTCCAGAAGTTAGGGGATTTATTTTTCTTAAAATATTTTCTAATCTTTGTGGTTCAGAAGCACATCTTCAGAGGCAACACTGCATTCATCCAATTACATGCTGAGCCAGACATACTGAAACAACTCAAGTGTCAATGTCACCCAATTTTTTTAATGGGGTGTGAATGATGAAGCTTAATTATCAGTACCTTTCATATTCATAAAATTACTGAATCAGCCTGGCTGAGCAGAATTTGAACTTGATGCTATTCAAATTTGGGGCTAGAGCTGGTGCCAGTGGAGGAAGAAAAATATCAAATCATGGGATTTTTTTGGAGCTATATTCTCTTTTCTCCTCTTCCTTAACAAAAGTGCCAACTACAACCCCACATTCATATGGCGCAAAGTTCAAATTCCACGTAGCCAGTCTGATTATAGGGATATAGAAGAATCTAATCAAATCTCATCTAGTCCAACCCTGTCAGTGAGGACTATTCTCTACAGAGTTTTCTAGTATTTTGTCCAATTATAATTTAAATACTGCAGTTGATAGGATATCCACCATTTCTCTTTCAAAAATCACTCCACTGTGTTTCTCCCGGTCAATGTTTTTCTTGCTTCCCCTTCTGGACTTTACATTCTCTTCACCAACCTGATCCAATCCACTCTGTGGTCCTCTCTAATCCTTCCCAGATCCATTCTCTTCCCTCTTCCCAGACCAATCTCATTCTTCATCCACACAAGAGTTACAACATGGACAATTGCAAAGATTTCTGAACCCTGACCCCAGTGTGCCTCAACCTTTACCTAGAAGTACCAACACAAGTGCTGAAGAGGGGGGTACTTCAGTCTTCATAGCCATTCAAACACATGCCTTTAACTTTGAGTCTACCAACAAGGGGTCCCAATTAGTACCAACAGCAATGGTTACTTTGGTGATTTAGCTACCTGTCCACTAGATTTGACTATGACCACAAATTCATAAGCTTCCAAACAAACTTGTGGTCACTACCAACCTGAGCTAAACTCGATGCTTTTTAATACTAAAATGAATCTGACATATCTAATTTCCAAAGCATGCATATAGATAGCTTAGAATACAGGGGGAAACTGAAAAACAGTAGTGAAAGCCCAGAAAGCGGTCTACTGTACATCAGTAAACCTCAGATGTTCTAATACTGAAGACAGAATTTGACCATTTTATTCACCATACATCAATATTCTCTGCTGACTCAAGAATGACATATCCGCAAGCAATAAAAAGGTCAAACTATCAAGTTTAAAGGCAGTCCTGAGTATAGATACTGTATAATGGTCAACTCCCTGTCTTTCCCCTTGATTTACATAAAAATAAATTTAATAAATCAAGTTATATTGTTGCTACAGACATTAGTTTTTCCGGTTGCTGAGTTAGAAAGAGCTGCCTCTAAAAAAGGGCTGACAGTGAAAGAGGAAAGGGGGAAAAAGATAGTCGAACTGAACTGTAATTTCACCAACATATCAAGACTTTTGACATACATCAGTAAATATTCTCCATATCACAATACCGATTATATACTAAGATAAAAATCAAATTCTATTGTCAAAAGTTACCTTCAAAGGATGTGTATGACATTTTTGTTGACATATTTGTGAACTAATTCAGTATAAATCCCATTTTGCAAGTGCCCCAAACACGACATTTAGAAGAATAATTGATTTGAAATAAGAAATCTCAAGTTTCAAAGTCAAATCCTCTACCCCCCTTTCCAATCTTGTTAAAAAAAGATCTTGTATTCCACACTAGGTTTTGCCACAAGATTCCCAAATTTTGATCACTTGGTATCAGACCACAGGACTATAGTTTACATTTTATTGGATGTTGTAGAAATAATGATTGGTAATCAAAGAACAAAAGAATTTATGAAAACAGAATGACCTCTAAGAACCTAAATGTCATTTTTCTTGTTTGTATATATAAAAAAAGGCCATTTAGAGGCTACTGACCCTTAAAGACATGCAAAAGGGGGCAGAGACGGTGGGAGGAAAGAGGGTACAGCTGTATCCCTGATGTATTGCATTTCCACCCTGGTTGTTATGGAAGGATACAATTAACCTGCTCTCCTGAAGGCTAAACAGGAAAAAACAAGCAAACAAAAAAACCACCTTTCCACACGAAGTGACATTGATACTTGGCTGTTTCACAAGGTTAACTAATAGGCAAATACTAACATATTGTATTAAACTCTTGTAGTAAACTATTTACCATCAGCAAACTACATTTTCTGCTGTTTAACATATCTATGAGCTCCCGGAAACCTAGAGGTATTACATGACCCCTTTCTGAGCTACGCAGAATGAAGCCTGGAGAGAAATAGAACACTACTGCAACAATAAAGGGTAGAAATGCAGTGTGGAAGCATGACTAATCTGCGATTGAGTATCTCCCACCTACAGTATCTCCTTGGCAGGGTCACATTTTTACAGTACAGGCACATTTTGCTGATGAAACCACATCACATGAGGGAAGTAACTATAGGATTACTGTAGAGCCATCCTACTCAGCTAGAAACGGCTCAAATCAAGTGAAAAGGACCACGAAGTTGACTTAGACGCTAAAATAGTTGCCCCTTTCCTTTGAAGGGGTTGGTATTGGTTCTAAGGTCAACAATTATATTGCTATGAAATCAGCTGGGGGAAAGGTGTGACAGTCATTTAAAGCAGATTTTTCCTGATTTAAAACAGAACACCCTCCCCCCCCCCACAGAAGTGCCACATGCATTACTAGCAAGGGGCACGCTGCTTGTATGGCATGCAGTAAGGATGGGGAGTCGGACTGGCCACCTCTCCAAACAAAAGACGCAGACGAAGAGACAGGATGGTCAGCAGCAACAAGCCAGTAGTGCGCGCCCCCCGCGGAATACAGCCAGGAAGAGACAGGAAACTTTTGGGGGCTGCTCCAGGGCTCCCGCCTGGGCCACGGAACAGGACCCCAACCCAGGGTCAACGCAGCCGACCGCACGTGGGGCTTGCCAGGGGGTGCAATGAGCTCCCGGCCAGACGTGCAGGGAGAGGGGGAAGGCACCAAGCGGGACCTGCGGAGAGGAGGGAGGCTGCACGGTAACCAGCGCCAAGCGGTACCTGCAATAGCGGGGGAGGGGGCACAACACAACCAGTCCCAAGTCGGGGCTCGCCAGGGGAGGGGTGGGCGCAAGGCTGCCAGCCCCAGGCGAGCGAGGTTCTACAAAGCCGCCCATCACCGCTGCGTCGGGGAGCGGAGGGGGGGGGGGCGCGTCAGCAGCCAGCACCAGGCAGGACCTGCCCGGGGGGGGCGAGGCAAGGAGAGCAGGCGGGCCCGGCCAGCAGCCCCTGCCCTTAACAAAAGCCCCAGGAGCGGCCCCCAGCGCAGAGAGGGGGAGCGGGGCTCGGGCCGCGCCCCCAACTTCGCCGCCGCCAGCACAATGCGGCCCCCCGGAGACCCTCCCCCGGCGGCACAAAGCGCGCCCGGCCCGCACCCACCTCGAGCGGCACCGGGCGCCCCCAGGGTTTTGGTCACCGCCTTCCACACGTTGCAGCCCAGCAGGCAGAGGAGAAGCGCCGCCGACCTGCTCATTTCCACCCGCCGCCGCCGCAGCCACCGCCGCCGGGAGGGAGGAAGGGAATCGCCGCTGCCCGGAGGAGGCGGAGAAAGCGCCGCATCAGGGGCTGGCCCGCTCCGCGCCTCCCTCCATGTTGCCTTTCGCTGCGGCGAAGGCTGCTGCCCCCCCTGCTCTCCCCTGCCGCATCCTGGCCCCGCCGCTGTGTCCCCGCGGCCGGCGCCTTGCAAAGCAGGGGGAGGGCGGCAGGGCGCTGCTTATTTATTTATCTGTGTGAGGGGTCCCCAAAGGCTGAGCCGGGCTATTTAACCCTTTCTGCCCCGCTTCAGCAGCAGCGCGGAGCCGGGAGGCGGCTCCACCTGCCGGCCAGCCCGCGGCAGCCCACCCCGCATCGCTCTAGCAGAAAAGCAGGAGATGCCTAGCACAGAGCGGGGCGCTGCTAGAAATAGTAATAGGGCAACCTGTGGCAGGGGCCTGAAGCCAGCTGTGCCAGCCCCTTCGCCCTAGGAGCTCATCCTCCTTCGAGACATATGACTGCTTGCGAGCAGGGCCGGCTCCAGGGTTTTTGCCAGCCCAAGCGGGCAAAAAAAAAAAAGCTGCAATCTGCGGCAGCAATTTGGCAGGAGGTCCTTCGCTCCCAACGGGAGTGAGGGACAGGGCCGGCTCCAGGCACCAGCTTAACAAGCAGGTGCTTGGGGCGGCCAAGGGAGAGGGGCAGCCCTGCGGCAATTCGGGGCAGCAGGTCCCTTGCTCCCTCTAGGAGCGAAGGACCTGCCGCTGAACTGCCGCCGCCAATCGTGGCGCTTTTTCTTTTTTTGCTTGGGGCGGCAAAAATGCTGGAGCCAGCCCTGGTGAGGGACCATCCACCGAATTGCCGCCGAATAGCTGGACGTGCCGCCCTTCTCTGGTGTGGCCGCCCCAAGCCCCTGCTTGGCAAGCTGGTGCCTGGAGCCGGCTCTGCTTGTGAGTTAGTGCATTGCTCCTATCACCCACCCTCAACCTCCAAGAGTTACAGTATTTACCTGCCAGCCACTCTCCACTCACTCACTGTATTTGGACCTCCCCCTTTTTCCCCTTACAGATATAAAATGCATCCTGTGTGATGCTTTTCTTGTCTACTGGCTCAAGACCAGTATTAGATCTTTCCTCATTCCCATCTGCAGTCCAGCAGGAAAACAAGAATGTGATGATCTAAGAGCAGACATCAAATATGATAAGTCACACAAAATACCCTTAAATGGCTTCTTGTAACCAAGTCACAAGCAACTGGGTCTCAATGCTCAATGACAGTCAGTTTTGCTCCTGCTCTTTTTGTGTAATATTTACTTCTGTTGTTATGTTTGTGGGGCAGACCTGAGTTGTTCTGTTTGTTTGAACTTTGTGTGAAATTGTCTAAAAATGTCACCTTACAATTGTTAATGAACAGAAGTGTCTAACAGTTAAAACACAGGGCTTGGAGACAGGACGCCTTGATTCTGTACCCACTTCTGCCATAAACTCGATGTATGACCTAGATAAGTCACTTAGGGCTAGCTAGTAACATTTCATCACTGTTCTGTGTAGGAGGCTACAAGAGGAGCGTTGAGGAGATTATGCCTCAGGCAGGCAGTCTCTCCTGAGGCCTCTTCCAGGCTCCATCCTTAAGGGCTTCCCTTAATGTATCAGCCCTTCTCCCTGGGCCACTGTGAAGGGGGTACCAGGCCATGACCTTAATATCTCCTTTTGCCTACCCCCTTTTTGGCATCTGCTTCCCTACCATTGACAGACTGCTAATATGAGAGGTCCTTGTACGGGCCTGCTAGGGAAGGAGCGCTTTTAGCATATCCACTCATAGGCCTCTGTGTACAAACCCCACACTGGGCAACAAGGGTTTAAGGAACAACTTTGGGCCCAGCCACCACACTTGTAGAGCCAATGTTCCAACTGGAGGAGGAGTTAAAAGGCAGGGGGAACTGCTTATTTGGTGTCAGACTAGGGAAGAGTGCAGACTTGCAACTCCAGCAGAGAAAAGGCAGAAATCTCTCCCTAAGGCAACTGCCCAAAGGTTCCTCTCTGAGGGAAGGGAGGACCTGCCACTGAGACAGCCTAAGAGGGAAGCATCCCCTTCTTCCTATGGGCTCTAGAAATCACCTTTATTTTTTATTTTTTGTTTGGCCAACCCCAGCATGTGAAAACTACAAATCACCTTGTCTTCACATAGATTTTATCTCAAGTTGGTTAACTCAAGTTAGCGGATTCAAGTTAAGAACACTTCTCTCGTCAGAGTGAAGACAAAGCTTTGTAGTTAAGTTAGAGAGAGCACTGCAGGTTGCTATTTATACAAGGCAAAACTTGATGGGAAAATCTAATTTTGTACAGACCTATTCACCTTATAATAATTAATGTTGTATGTGATATTAAGTGTCCAATTCAAAGAAAAACTGTAGAATTCTCACTTTTTTGTTGAAAAAGCAAAGTACAGCAAGTCAGACTTTTGTAAAGTTTTATGTGCCTGTAGATTTTAGGAATGTATGAATTAGAAAGTATCCTTTGTTTAAGCTATATAATGTCTGCATAAAAGGTTAACAAATGAAATACAGCCAGAAGTTGGGTCTTGAAAGATCTGGTTTATTTACAATTAATGAAGCAGAACAGTCTTTAACAGAACAGTTTTGTTTCCACACACACATAGCCAAAATAAGAGCCCACATGATGGAGCTTCCTATGCTATTTATAGTATAAGTACTGGACCAGAACCAGTACACCATCATATTGCTTTTCCAGGCTTATCTGTTATGTGGCTCCAAATATCTGATGGCAATAGTGCTAACTGAAGATAATTAGCTGTCAATTATCATCATCTGTCTTGTTACAGTTCTGTCTATATATTTTTATTTCTACAAGGCACAAAAAAGTAAGCATGACTTTTGGCCAGTGTTTCAAGTTGTTTTTGTGGAATTTTGCCTTCTTATTTATTATTAGAGGTGGCTACAAACGTTTTCTTGGTGTAATGCAGAAATAGGAAATTTGATTCCTTAGTTGTTACAGATAGCCAAACATGCTAGACCAGAACTGAAGTAGCATATCCATACCATGATTATTTTTGTTTGGTGCTTAGATTGATAGCTGTAAAGTACTGACCATGGATGCATGGATTAGCAACCTCTTTGATTATCCTTTCCATGCCTGTGTATTTTTAATATAATTTTAAACACAGCATTATTAGTGTTCGAAAAGCATTATTTTAAAGTGTCAATAATGCTTTGAATATTTAGCTATTGCTGTCTAAAATATATAAAAATGATCTAACAGTTGGACTGTAGCTAGGAAAAATATATTGTATTTTGCTCTAGTTTTTCTCACTGACTAAAATATCTGTTGTACTAGTACAACTTCATTGACATCAGTTGAATTACTCCTGATTCACATAGATGTAAAGGAGGGGAGAACCAAGCCCTCAAAATAGACTATAAAGTAGGACCGTGTCACTGCCTCTTGACCATTGTCTCTTGTAAGGCACAAAACCCTTGACTACAGGAAAGCAGATCCTAAAATACTGCGTATGAAGTTCTTCTCTGGTATGATTCCCTTGACTCTTGTGGATTCCTACTCTAGCTACATGTTCTGTCTTAACTAGAAGTTCATGCAGGGATTACTGAATTAAATTTGCTGTGTTACACCTGAAGTTAGAATTGATTATCCTAACAATTCCTTCTTGCCTTAAAATCTGAGCTGGATTGTTGCCACGTATCTGTCACTATGGGTTTTCAATCTTCCAGAGAGAGAGCGCGAAGGGGAGGGAGAAGACAGGAGTCCTAATACCATACTTACAAATAGGCTGCATATCAAGTATTATTTTGTTAATCAAGTTTTCTTTACTATTAGGCTACACATGGACTGCACTGCAGCAAGCTGAATAATTTCAAGCAATTAACTTTTACCACATGGCACCAAACTCAGAAAATTGATTTACATCAATTGAAGAAAAGACTCTTGAAGGGAAATGAGAAGTATGTTGCATTGCAAAACCACCGTTAAAAGTTTCTGGAAGACACGGTCTTCAGAAAAATTTCAAAGAGGAACACTCCACAGTCTCTTACTACTTGGGACAAGTAGTTCTGAACTGAAACTGAATACTGCTTCCTAAAAGTAATAATGTAATACACTGCATTTTATAGCAATTTTTGTCTAAGCATAGTTTGAACAATAAATTGAACTTCAACCATGTGGGGTATTAGCCCATGGTTGCCCACTTACTAATCACACAAAACCGAAGACCTCTGCCTTGCCCCTGCTCCGAGGACCTGCCCCGCTCGCTCCATTCTCTCTCAGTCACTCACTCTCCCTCACCTTCACTCTCTTTAACTCTCTCTTGGGATGAGGTAGTGGGTTGGGGTGCGTGAGGACTCCAGCTGGGGGTGTAGCCTCTGAGCTGGGGCCAGGGGTGAGGGGTTTGGGAGTGGGAGAAGTCTCGGGGCTGGAGGAAGATGTTGGGCTGCAGGAGGGAGTGCAGGGTCCCAGTGGTGCTTGCGGGGGCTCCCAGGAAGTAGCCACCAGGTCCCTGCAGCCCCTAGGCACATGGACAGCCAGGGAGGCTCCGTATGCTGCCCTTGCGCCCGCAGCTCCCCTTGGTTGCAGTTCCCAGCCAATAGGCGATGTTGAGCTGGCACTAGGGATGGGGGCAGCACCCAGAGCCCCCCTGGCCGTCCATGAGCCTAGGGGCTAAAAGGATCTGGTGCCCGCTTCTGGGAGCCATGTGGAGCTTGGGTAGGCAGGGAGCCTGTCTTAGCCCTGGGCCCCTACTGCGCCACCCACTGGAGTTGCCAAGGTCTCTTTTCGACCGAGTATTCTAGTTGAAAACTGGATGCCTGGCAACCATATATTAACCTTCCACAGGTATATAACCTTACATAGAGGTAAACTGAATCAACTACTACTTAAGGACTAGCTCATGAGGCTGATGGTCCTAACTTGGGAGTTGGTTGGTTGGGTAGTGTGGCCTAGTGCTCAGGGCTAAGACCCATGACCTCCAGGGGGGATTAGTAAGAGAGCCCAGGTCCTCCCACTCCACCAGGCTCAAACCTAGGGCCCTTTGAGGGCCATCGGTGATCTGCCCTCTCTGGGCCACTTCCTAGCTCTCTCCCCCTGTATTTGTCCTAAAGTCACCATCCAGGTTAAGGTGGTGTGAAGGGTGCCCATACCTCACAAGGCACCTTTTGTTAGTGGCATGCAGCTTAGTAGCCCTCTTCCTCTGGGAGGAGTTGCTGCCTTCGCATGCTGGGGTTGTCCAAACAAAAAAAAAATAAAGGTGATTTCTAGAGCCCATAGGAAGAAGGGGATGCTTCCCTCTTAGGCTGTCTCTGTGGCAGGTCCTCCCTTCCCTCAGAGAGGAACCTTTGGGCAGTTGCCTGAGGGAGAGATTTCTGCCTTTCCTCTGCTGGAGTTGCAAGTCTGCACTCTTCCCTAGTCTGCTAGCTGGAGTTAAGAAATTTATTTATTTATTTTTGCATTGGAGATAAGGCAGTAAGGAGACTCATGTATTGATGAAGGGATGCAAAAATCATGGCTTTTTGTTTGCTTTCAGCCAGAGAAATGCAATCCCTTTCATCTGCCAGGAAAAGTCCTCAAAATATGCAGTGCATCTTCCCAGAAATGATATAGCTGAATGCTGTCATCATTTACCACCACTTCATGAAATAATTAAAAACAACAGGAATTGTCTGTAAATGTCTGTTTTCTGGCTATTGTTTTTAAACAGTGGTTTGTTGTATTACTTTATATCATCATCTGGTGGCCAAACTGGAAAAGTCTGTGTTGATATTCTTCTAAACTCCACCCCACTAAAAGGAGATGCTGTTCTGAGTAGATTTTCAAAGCACATACTCTCTGGGCTCCACTGTCCTCCTTGGGCTTAGGTGCCCCTCACTAAAATTAGACCATAAGAATGGTCGTATTGGGTCAGGTCAACGGCCCATCTAATCCAGTATCCTGTCTTCTAGCACTGACCAATGCAAGGCGCCTCGGAGGAAATGAACAGAACAAGCAATAAGAGTGATCCATCCCGTCATCCTCTCCCAGCTTCTGGCAGTCAGACAGTAGGGCCACTCAGAGCATGGGGTTGCATCTTGGCTAATAGCCATTGATGGATCCAGTCTCCATGAATTTATCTATAACAGGGCTCAAAAAAGTAATAGTTTTGGCCTTTACAACATCCCCTGGCAATGAGTTCCACAGGTTAACCGTGCATTTGTGGGAAGTACTTCCTTTTCTTTTAAACCTGGTGCCTGTTAGGGGTCACCCAATATATTGTTTCTTATGTTATGCAAAGGAGTAAATAACACTTCCTTATTCACTTTCTCCCCACCGTAGATGGTTTTATAGACCTCTATCATATCATATCCTCTCTCAGTTGTCTCTTTTCCAAGCTGAAAAGTCCCAGTCTTTTTACTCTCTCCTCAGATGGAAGCTGTTCCATATCCCTAATCCAGTAGTTCCCAGCCAGGGGTATGTGTAGCCCTGGGGAGTACACAGATGTCTTCCAATGGGTACATAAACTCATCCAGATATTTGTCTAGTTTTAAAACAGGCTACATAAAAAGCACTAGCGAAGTCAGTACAAGCTAAAATTTCATACGACATGTTTATACTGCTCTATATACTATACACTGAGATGTTAGTACAATATTTATATTCCAATTGATTTATTTTATAATTATATGGTAAAAATGAGAAAGTAAGCAATTTCAGTAATAGTATGCTGTAACACTTGTATTTATGTCTGATTTCATAAGCAAGTAATTTTTAATTAAGATGAAACTTGGGGGCACACAAATCAGCCTCCTGAAAGGGATACAATAGTCTGGAAAGGTTGAGAGCCACTGCCCTAATCATCTTTGTTGCCCTTCTCTGCACCTTTTCCAATTCTAATATATCCTTTTTAAGATGGGGCAAGCAGAACTGCATGCAGTATTCAAGGTGTGGGCATACCATGGATTTATATAGTAGCATTATGATATTTTCTGTCTTATTATCTATCCCTTTCCTAATGGTTCCCAACAGAGTTAGCTTTTGGGACTACCAGTGCACACTGAGCGGATATTTTCAGAGAACTATCCACAATGACACCAAGATTTCTCTTAAGTGGTAACAGCTAATTTAGACCCCATCATTTTGTATGTATATTTGGGATTATATTTTCTAATGTGCATTACTTTGCATTTATCAACATGGAATTTCGTCTCCCGTTTTGTTGCCCAGTCACCCAGTTTGGTAAGTAACTCTTCACAATCAGCTTTGAGTTATCTTAAGTAATTTTGTATCTGCTGCAAATTTTGCCACCTTGCTATTTACCTCTTTTTCCAGATCATTTATGAATATGTTGAACAGCACTGGCCCCAGTTCAGATCCCTGAGGGACATCAATATCTGTCTCTCCATTGTGAAAGCTGACCGTTTATTCTTATCCTTTGTTTCCTGTCTTTTATGCAGTTACTATTCCATGAGAAGATCTTCCCCCTCTTATCCCATGACTGCTTACTTTACTTATGAGCCTTTGGTGAGGGACCTTGTCAAAGGCTTTCTGAACATCCAAGAATGCCATATCCACCTTTTCCACATAGTTGTTGACCCTCTCAAAGAATTCTCATAGATTGGTGAGGCATGATTTCCCTTTACAAAAGCCATGCTGACTCTTCCCCCACAAATCAAGTTCATTTATGTGTCAGATACAGGGCCGGCTCCAGGCACGAGCTCAGCAAGCAGGTGCTTGGGGCAGCCAATGGAGAGGGGCAGCACGTCCGGCTCTTCGGCAGCGGGTCCATCACTCCTCTTGGAGCGAAGGACCTGCCACCAAATTGCCGCCGAAGAATGAAGTGGCGACGGTAGAACTGCCGCCAAAGTGCCGCAGATCACAATCATGGCCTTTTTTTTTTTTTTTTCCTGTTCTTTACTATAGTTTCAGTCAGTTTGCCTAGCATTGAATTAGGCCTACTGGCCTGTAAGTGTGGAGCCTATTTTAAAAAATTGGTGTCACATTAGCTGTCCTCCAGTCATCTGGTACAGAAGCTGATTTAAGTGAAAGGTTACATACCACAGATAGTAGTTCTGCAATTTCCTATTTGAGTTCCTTCAGAACTCTCGGGTGAATACCATCTGGTCCTGGTGATTTATTACTGTTTAATTTATCTATTTGTTCCAAAACATCCTCTAATGACACCTTAATCTGGGACAGTTCCTCACATTTGTCACCTAAAAAGAAGGGCTCATGTTTGGAAATCTCCCTCACATCCTCAGCTGTGAAGACCGATGCAAAGAATTCATTTAGTTTCTCTGCAATGATCGTATCATCCTTGAGTGCTCCTTTAGCATCTCAATAATCCAGTGGCCCCACTGATTGTTTGGAAGTTTTCCGACTTCTGCTGTACTTCAATTTTTTGTTGCTACTAGTATTTCCATCTTCAGCTAGTTACTCTTTTTTTGGCCTGTCTAATTATGCTTTTAGACTTGACTTGCCAGAGTTTATGGTCCTTTCTCTTATAACTTGCAATTTTTAAAGGATGCCTTTTTGCCTCTAACTGCTTGTTTTACTTTGTTGTTTAGCCATGGTGGCACTTTTTGGGTCCTCTTACTATGTTTTTTAGTATAGGGTATACATTTAATTTGAACTGCATAGTGTTTTAAAAAATGTTTCCATGTAGTTTGCAGGCATTTCACTTGTGACTGTACATTTTAATTTTGACGTAACTAGTTTCTCATGTGCCTAAGGGCTTCAGGGAGCTGGTGGCTGCTTCCTGAGAGCCCCGGTAAGTGCTGCTGGGACTCTGCGCCCCAACCCCTTGCCCCAGCCCGGAGTCCCCAGCCGCACCCAAATTCCCTCCTGGAGCCTGCACCCCCTCCCCACAGCCCGCACCTCCAACCAGAGCCCTCACTGCCCCTGCACCCCAACCCCTGCCCCAGCCCAGAGTCCCCAGCCGCACCCAAATTCCCTCCTAGAGCCTGCATCCCCTCCCCACAGCCCACACCCCCAACCAGAGCCCTCACTGCCCCTGCACCCCAACCCCCTGCCCCAGCCTGAAGCCCCCTTCTGCACCTCAAACCCCTCATCCCTGACTCCATCCCAGGGCACTGTGGTAAAGAGGGTGTTGCTGGAGGGTGCTTTGCAGTCACCAGGAAGTGGACTGTGACACCGAGGGTGGTCTTGCCATTGTGCCACCCCCACCAACAGTTACCAATTACCTATGCTCTCATGCAGGGGGTTCAGGAGGCAC